ACTAAGTAAGCCACAGACTTCTGGATGTGAGGGTTCAGAAATTTGGGTTGGGGTATGTGAGGGGTTCAGGGCAGGGGGTTCCAGTGTATGATAGGCTCAGATGTAGGGTCTGGGGAAAAAGGGAGTGCAGGAGTGTTATGATGCTGTGGCCAGTTGGGGGTTTGTTGGCCAGGCTTCATTTTCAAATAAAATACTAATGTCAGACACAAAAAGTTTCTGCATTGTCTTTATTTCTGAGAAAGGCAGGGAACCTGTTTGGACAGGGTGCCAGTGGGGACAGGTTTCTGTGGCTAAGGACAGGAGAGGGGACAGGGTGCCAGGAGGGCAGGGGACAGGGTGCCAGTGGGGACAGATTTCTGAGGCTGGGGAGTGGGGAGAGGAAATAGGGAGCTGGGGGGGAGGGAACAGGGTGCTGGGGAGAAGGGGGAGGGAACAGGAGGGAGTGGGAACAAAGACCCCTGCTATTGCCTCCTTCCAGGATTCTCCCCCCCACCAGCCCCGAGAGAAGCCAGCGCGTGCCTCCCACAGTGCAGCCAAACCTCCGCAGGCGCCAGTCCCAGGGCCAAACCCCCCTCCCACGGCAGGGCCAAACTCCTCCAGGCGCCTGCCCCAGAGCCAAACCCTTGCAGGTGCCTGCCCTGGTGCCAAACCCCTCTCCTGCAGCGCGGCCCAAACCCCAGGGCTGACCCCCGCTCCCGCAGCACAGGGAAACCCTTGCGCTAAACTCACCCCTCCGGCGCCGGCGGCACAGGGAAGCTGCCGCACTCTTCCTCCCAGGACAAAGCCTCCTTCCCCCAGTACGTGACAGAGCTGTGGGAGGGGAGCAGCCAGCGCACTTCTGGAACTCCCAGAAGTGATGCGGGTTTCAGACAGGACTTCCGTGAACCCCGCGGGAAGCCGGCACTACACTAGAGGTAGGTAGTGGGGCTTCTCGGGGTGGGGGGAAAATGGGAGGGTGGGGGTGCCCAAATGCCTCGCGATTGACTGGTCGAGGCCTCGTGATCGACCAGTCCATCGCGATCGACGGGTTGGTGACCACGGCCCTACAGACTATCCCTAACAGGTATCTGTCTAACCTGGGATTAAAAATCTCCAATGACTGAGGTTCCACAGCCTAAACAAGTTATTCCAGTGCTTAACCTTTCAGAGGCTGTGTCTAGACTGGCCAGTTTTTCCAGAAAATCAGCCACATTTCTGGAAAAACTTGCCAGCTGTTTACACTGGCCGATTGAATTTCCACAAAAGCACTGACTTCCTACTGTAAGAAATCAGTGCTTTTTGCGGAAATACTATGCTGCTCCCATTCGGGCAAAAGTTCCTTTTGCGCAAAAGGGCCAGTGTAGACAGCTCAGATTTGTTTTCCGCAAAAAAGCCCCGATCACGAAAATGGCGATCGGGGCTTTTTTTGCGCAAACGCGCGTCTAGATTGGCCACAGATGCTTTTCCGCAAAAAGTGCTTTTGCGGAAAAGCGTCCGTGCCAATCTAGACGCTCTTTTCCGAAAATGCTTTTAACAGAAAACTTTTCTGTTAAAAGCATTTCCGGAAAATCATGCCAGTCTAGATGTAGCCTGACAGTTAGGAAGCTTTTCCTATGTCCAATTTAAACTGCCCTTGCTGCAATTTAAGCCCATTGCTGCTTGTCCTATCCTCAGAGGTTAACGAGAACAATTTTCTACTCCTCCTTGTAACAATCTTTTCCACACTTGAAAATAGTTATGTCCCCTCGACCCAGTCTTCTCTTCTCCAGAACAATAAAACCCAGTTCTTTCAATCTTCCCTCATGTTTTCTGGGTCTTTAATCATTTATGTTGCTCTTCTCTGGACTTTCACCTTTCTCCAAAGGTGGAAATTTGCTCCCCAAAGGGGATTGCTGCCATTGGGCTAAGTCCCTGAATAGGAACTTATATAAAAGTATATGTAGTCAGCAAAATTCTTTCCAAGGAAGCAAAGCAAAGATCTATTTCTCCGTGCTTCTGGAACGGGAAGATGCTGTTATATGCCCAGATGACATAAGCAGTGTGCCTGAATATTTCTAAGCTCTGAAGTTCCTCTTGGAAGAACTGTATGGTAGCATATAAATGACAATTTCTGTTTTTACAAGAAGAAGTCTGTTATGCCAAATAAAACATCTCTCTCAAGGTGTGCGTAGTTTGTATTTGGCCTTTTGCTTTCCCCCCTCCTTTTGCAGCTGCTGCTAAGGTACCAATGTTTGGGGATTACGTGGTTGTGCCACTGTTGAAGTGCAGTAGTGTTTGTTTAACCTTGCTTTGGATTGAGTAATGGATTAAATAGCTCTACAGGGATGTGTATTCTCCCTCTGCTCCTCACTACGCTGCCCTGGATAAAGTCTCACACACGGTTTTGCGCATTGATGTTTAAATGGCAGAAGTGGCTGCATTTTAAACAGTAATAAGCTACCATCGAATGCCACCAAGTCATTTTGGTATTAAAAAGCTTGGAACACCATAAACTATTTCAGAAGTGGTATTTCTAAGGACACTGATGTGTGTGTCAGAGTTAAGTAACACACACACCTTGGAGTAACCAAAGTTTTCATGTACTGGAGCACTAATATTGTTGTCACCATAGGTGCTGGCTCCCCCTCTAGCCAGTGTGTGTGGGGTGCTCAACCCCCCTCCAGGTCCCTGTTCCTGCCTCTCTCCTTCTCCCAAGCCCCCCCTCAACCCCCTCTTCTGCCTTGCCCCTTCCATGTCCTTCCCCCAAACGTGCCCCATCCACGCTCTTCTCCCTCCATTCTGGAGTCTCCTGAGTGCTGCAAAACTGATGTTCACAGTGGGAGGGAAGCACTGGGAAGGAGATGGAAGGGTTGATCACTGGATCTACCAGTGGGTGAGAGGCACTGAGGAGTGGAGAGAGATGGAGTTTAGTGGGTAACATCTGCTAATTTTTGGTTCTTGTCAACTGGAGCACCATGGAATCAGCACCTATGGTCCTGGTTTGAATTTGTATCTTGTCTAGAAAGTTTGTCCATCTGCCATTTAGGTTTTGTTAAGCAATACACAGCTTAAGTTGCCGTTTTAAAGAGCAAAGCTAAGCAAGTGGAATGAGCTGGAGCATTTTACCAAGGTGTAAGAACTGACAAGCTATAGTCAGTCCTTTGTGTAAGTTACAGCCGAGGACCACTAGTTGGTAATAAGAATGGGTCAAAATCATGTTGCTCTGCTTTATCAGTGCCAAAATACCTTTTTTTTCGGGTAATCAGAGTAAGATTGCTAACAATGCCCTCCTTTGTCATGTTAGCAGGAGGAGGAGGCTATTTTGAGTGGTGCTATTTATGTACCTGAGACACTGAGAAGTGCTATAGGAATGCACCTATTTCTGCATGTACAGTAACAACATGTGACTAAAATGGCAAATTTAACTTCTACAATGACTGCTTTTCCCTCCAGTAGAGTTAAGAGG